GTTTGAATCAGATCTAAACATGATCCACACACACATTGGTATTTGTTCTGCAGGAATTCCCCGGGGGTCTAGATTTTACTGATTGCATCTCCATAATGTTATTTAACATGGTCCCCCATGTCTTGCATTTCCTGTCAATTTATAAATCAGATTCAGGCAAGCATACTTCACAGTTGGTATTCTATACTTCTTATTGCTTTACATCAGGAACTGCATAATATCTGATTTTTTTCCTCTCTTTTTGTGATTCTGATCCTTTGTAAAAAGATATGCAAAAGATTTTTTAAAGGACTAAAGTTTATACTTGCTAAATCACCTTGCTATAGGTAACTTTCAGTAAGAACTTGAAAGTAATTATTGTTGAATTTTGTTCTGGAAAATGCAATAAATAACACACAGAGCCTTGTCTGCAGTTTAAGTAATTTACACCTCAGCAACCCTCCTGGACAAATTTAATGTTGCTCATTGTGACTGGGAGTGCTGGTGTGGCACTGTGGGTCAATGCGCTGGACTGCAAGATCAGTTTGAACCAGCCGCAACTCAGAAACCCTATACAGGGTCACTATGAGTCAAAATTGATCTGACAGCACTTAATAGCAACAACAACAATTGTAACTAAATCCCTAGCTTTGATGTCAATATCCTTATTTTGTCCCCATAAAACAGAAAACAAGATGGAAAGGACTTCAATTGCAGCATGGCACACTGAGAGTGGACAGAGTTTGGAGTACTATGGAGCAGACTCTACAAGGAAATTATAAATGGGGCTGAAAGTCATCCTCTTCCTGCATTGCCCCTCCCACTCCACATCCAGTAGGCTCCCAATCCTGCAGACCCTCCCTTCTTAAAAATTCCAGAACCTCATATTTGTGTCATGAAACCATTTGGCAGAATGACAAAATTGATGGGCTCCTTCTCTGGTAGCATAGTGGTTACAAATAGAGCTGTGAACCACAAGATCAGCAGTTCGAAACTACCAGCTGCTCCGAGAGGGAAAGATGAGGCTTTCTGCTCCAGTAAAGATTTACAGCCTTGGAAACCCTGTGCAGGGTTGCTGTGAGTCAGACCCGAATCCACGGCACATAACCACCTTCTCATAATTATACTTTTTAAGAAATATATAAAATAAAACCTTGCTGATAAGTGCCATTGAGTTGGTTCCAACACACAGCAACCTTGTATAGTGTTCCCAAGGAACAGCTGGTGAGCTTGAACCGCCGACCTTGTGGTTCAAACCAACTTTGCAGTCCAGTGCATTAACCCACAGTGCCACACCAGGACTCCTAAATGCTGTTGTTGTTGTTGAGTGCTATCAAGTCGGTTCCGATTCATAAGGACCCTGTATAGATAGGGTTTCCGAGAAGTGGCTGGTGAGTTTGACCTTGCCTTTAGCAATTCAGTATTTATACTATAAGGTGGCTTAATAATTGGCCCAATTTCAAACAGCAATGAACATAAATGATATTTTGAGATTTCTGCAGCAACTCAAAGGAAATGTGAAGATCTTTGTGATTTTTCCTGAGAACAAAGTCACAGGTTCTGCTCATACTATTGCGGTATGGAGCGCTGGTAGCGTAGTGGTTATAAATCAGGCTGTGAACATCAAGGTCAGCAGTTCGAAACTACCAGCTGTTCCGCAGGAGAAAGATGCGGCTTTCTGTTCCTGTAAAGATTTACAACCTCGGAAACCCTGTGCAGGGTTGCTATGAGTCGGAATTGACTTCATGGCATATAACCACCACCATGTTGCCTACAAGTGTTGCCAAACTGAAACAAGGGTTTGCCACCTGTCAGTGTAGTCAATCCTGAGATGGGGAGAGATCTGATCCGAGTTTTAACAAAAAGCCAGCAGTCTGGAAACCAGTCCTTTTCACTTTCAGCAAGCAAGATTATATCATCTGCATATCACAGGTTGTTAATGAGTCTTTCTCCTATCCTGATGCCATGTGTTGTTTTTTTCATAGAACCCAGCTTCTCGGATAATTTGCTCAGCATACAGGTTGAATAAGTATGGTGAAAGAATACAACCTTGTCACACACCTTTTTTAATTTTAAACCTTTCAGTGTTTCCATGTTCTGTTTGAACAACTGCTTCTAGGTCCTGGTACAGATTCCTCATGAGCACAATTAAGTGGTCCAGAATACTCATGCTTCACAATGTTGTCCATACAATCCACACAATCGAAAGCCTTTGTGTAGTCAATAAAGCACAGTTAAATATCTTGTTGATATTCTCTGCTTTCAGCCAAGATCCATCAGACATCAGCAGTGATAACCCTTGTTCCATGTCCTCTTCTGAATCCGGCTTGGCTTGAACCTCTGGGATTTCTCTGTCAATGTATTTTTGCAGCCATTTCTGTATTACCTTTAGTAAAACTTTACTTGCATGGGATATCAAAGATATTGTCCAATGATTTCCACATTCCGTTGGGTCACCTCTCTTTGGAATGGGCACAAATATGGA